AATAAATATAAAGCACGGTAGTAAACACACGCAACACAAATGTTTCAACTATCGATTAGTATAATGGGTTGGGACTAAAATGCGTGCACGTTGATCATAAACAGTGCAATTAAACACAGTACAATACAGATGTATGAACATCGCAGTGATTGCAAACAAAGCCAACAGCGGTTAAATGATGCAGCACTCTGAACAGTAGGATGGGAATTCCGAGTCATTTTCCGCGTATCGGTTCTTTTGAACAGTTCGTTTAAAAGAACCGGTTCAGAAAGGCGATTGAGCAACGCGTCATCACATTGTCTCTGACGTGCTGTAAAAAGTTCAAATAAAACATCATGTAGGAAAATATTGGCTTTGTCGATTAAACTGTATTAATAAGGATGTTTAATGTAATTTCTTGTGTCCCAGTTCAGTTGCAGCTATCAGCTCCTAAAACATAGAAATATTTAAAACAATACTAAAATGTATTTACATCTCCTGCATTACATTTATTTCTAAACCTATTTATTAAAAACAACAAAATAACATAATCACGACGAAAAAAATGATTCCAGTGTGTTTTATTTTGAGCTTTTCTGCTGTTTGGCTTTTCAATAATCTGCAAGTCCTGGTTTACTCCAAATTGTCTTACTATCTGCTCAGTTCGAGATCAAATTATAGAATTGTTAATTCAGACCGATTAATCGTTCAAAAAGGTTCGTAAACAAAATCCAGACTGATTCTGTGAGTCGGTTCAGCGAATTTCCTGAAAAAAAATCAGATTCGACGAACACAATGTTCCCGAATCGGACATAGCTACGCACAGCTGGTAAAGCAGTAAATCATTTCTGCATCAAACAGATTTAAATAACAAATGCAAAGCAGCTACATAGTCATGCACGTAATCAGAAACGAACTACAGCGCAAAATAAGATGAAGTTGCATTAATACAACTGTCTGTTCTGCAGCTGACACACGATCACTTTCATTATAAACAGCGTTTAGATGAGGCTATTCCTTATCATTCTAGTATTGCAAATGATTTCATAAACGAACAAAGAAACAACACAGTAGAAAGAACACTCACCAAAGTCCAGAAACTGTTTCATAGAAAGTGGAGAAGGTGAAAATTTGGAGAAGTGTTCAATGTGATGAGGCACACTGGCCAAAGCAGCATTCTTCATTATAAACCTGACGAACTTCATTTCGATGACTGGGTCGAAACCGAGATATACCAGATATATCAGCTGCAGAGTTTCAGTTTTTTCAATAGGCACGGTGTTTATAATGCACGTAGTGAGATGTAGGCTATATGATGGTCTACGAGGCAGCTGTTCTTCCAAGAACACTCAACAGCCAATCAGAGCCAGGGGTTCCTGTTACTTATACAGATCCGTCCAATAGCATGTGGAGGCGTGGCCATATGCTGCTCATGGCCCTATAAATATAAGCATTCAGTCAGGGACATAAACACGTGTGCATTGACCACTGTGTGCTTTGCGTCCTGAAAAGAGTACATCTGTTTTTCCCATCCTAAACTGTGATGATCCTTATGAAAATCATGAAAGCTAAATGAATATCAGAATGTCAAGAATTGTATTGATAACGTAGGCTACCTATTAATTTTACCTCACTATACAAAATCACTAGTAAAATTAAAAACTGGAGTTTAATTGCTTCCTTCATCGCTAGGGTAAATAAGTGCAAAAGTTACAACCTGCTGTAATAAATTAATAACACTTTTGCCAAGTCATTTGAATTTGATTAAATGAACTTGAATTACATTAAATAAGTTAGAATTAAGTTAATATAAAAAAAAAAGCTATGGGGGGAAATGTTGTTAGCCTATATCATGATAAAATATTTTATAGTGTGACTTTAGAAATACAGTATAACTTCTTTTGAACTTTATTTTACCCCACTGATCTTTTTCAGGACATATGGGGACACATCCATAATATGCATAATTTCCCTATCCAAAGATTTCTGTTTTTTAATGGTCAATTCGTGGTTGAGGACATTATGTTCTGTGAAAGACTAGGCTAACATGCTAAATCCATTCTTGCATAACAAGGAGATCTCGATAAGAGACAAGTCAGTCACCATCATGCAAATTTCACTCTCTCCTTCCAGCCAGTAGTCAGTTGAGTAAATCAAAGATATGCTTATTTTAAAGGATTATGTGCTTAGATGTATGACAAATGTCAAATGTGCATCTTTAAAAAAATTATTAACTGCGATTAGTCAGCAGATTCGCGTGTGCATTATAATTCTGAATTGTGCAGTGGCTCTCATCAGATGATTTCTCACAATGGAGACCTAGATAAATCAATACGTAGTGGCTCTTTCCATGATTAAATCACAACATTTCCCATATGTTCAAATATACAGCTCCACGCTATTGAACAGCTGCACCACCTTGTGGTCAGCTTTTGATTTTATTTTCAACTTTCCGCCACCGTTAATAGGGGATTCAATCTGTTATTTAGAGCATTACATTTGAGTGTTTGTGGCCGTTTTAATGTTCTAGTAAAACAATGAAAACATGTTATGTTAAAACACTTTATGTGGCCTTAAACACGCATTTGAAACGCATGACCCCTGATAAAGGGAGCATGCTGAAGGAAGGGAGAGGAAGGAAGTTTTGAAGTCTATGCAGAAGTGATTGCATAGCCATTAAGACCTGAGTGTGTGGGGAGAAGAAAACATGCCCAGTGGAAATTTCCTTTGGTCAGACACGGGCCATTGATGTGCTGTTTTGTACCTTCACTGAATGGAACAGCTTGGAGCCAAATGTCATGGTCACTCTCATGCTATTCTTTTTCAGTATTTGTTTTCCTACCAAGCAATATTTCACAACAGATTTCACAATAAACCCATTAAAATTATTAACAAATCCAGATTTTATATTCAAAAGCATCTATATTTTAATAGCTATGATAACTACTGTAATTCTAAAGATCTTAACTTTCAGACGTTTTCGATTAAAACATTTTGAAATACTTTGGCATGTACTCTCACTGACCCCTGCCATAAACCATGAATGAAGGCAAAATATTATCTGATTGCTTCTCTGCACCTGTTCTCATTTTGGATTGACTCACACCAGAGTTATGTGAGTGATGCAGAAAAAAAAGTCATCTCTATTGATTGCAACATGGCCCTTGTTTTGGAAGTGTTATTTCCATTGATTTTTCCCATAGGGATTTTAAAAAGTCTTCATTAAAGCGTTACAAGCCATGAGCCAAACCAACCAATCCTATGAACCATTGCAAATAACATAAATTAAAAACAGTGGAATTAAATTAAACAAAAAATCGAAAATGATCCATTTAAGGTTGTTGACTGTATATATAGAAAGAAACTATATATTTTCAGTTTATTGTAAAATATGCATATGTATGTTCAAATATTTAATATTCGAGAATATGAGCAGACCAACTCTATTACGCCATTTATGGTGTTTCATGGGAGTGCATGGGCAGAACTCTCTGATTAGTGAAATTTTCTTTACAGCATCATGGGTAATGTAGTTTTTCACCACTGTTAAACTTGATTATTTAAAACATAAGTTGATATAATGCGAACTGATGGCTTCAAGCAAAGCAAATACCATTGATTAACAACCTTAGAGCTCGCAGTAAGTCTGTCTTTAAAGGTCTGTAAGTTATTGTTAAAAAAACGATTTCCCTATGGAGAAAATTAATACCATTTTTATTTCTGGAACATGACTGTTGCATTCCATATCTGCTGCATCACACTTGTTAGCCCCACCCACTGTGAAATTTCATTGGTCCATAATCTTGCTGCTCCTCATAATTCTACATTAAAGTCCCCCTCACTCATTTTATCGCTTAAAACATGTCTTTAATTATCAAAATTACCTATTGAAACGTTTTCTTCCATTAACATATCATTTCTTTCTGTCTTAAAATGGCATGAATATAACTTTACACCCTTACCTCATTTAGTATACACGTAATCATGAATATGCACGCAATCACACCAGCTCGTATAACCACAGTTTTGAGACTGTCTTTGATACACTGTCATTTTAA